ACACACACACACACACACACACACACACAGGACAAAAGCGGGTTAATGAAGTCTCTGCTGTCTGATGGATTTTTCATAACGGATACAGAAAACACGCGCCGTCTGCAGCAGAATGATTAGCGGCGATTTCCAGTGTGCAAAGAGAGTGACGCACGTACACTTTTGTGTGGTTTGATTGAATTACTGCCGTTCCACAGTAACACTTTGCAGACCTGGCAGCGGGCGTCGCTGCCAGCCTGCCGGCCCACGCTCTCATTATTACCCTGAGGTGTGCCAGCACCACCGGCTGGCACAGGCCCGCGCCAGCGTGACGCCCTCGTCCTCACACACACACACACACACACACACACACACACACACCGGTCCCGCTCGAGGCTTTCTAACAATGCGGCCCCTCAACAGACCTGCCCTCCCCCGTCACATGACCGCTCTCAGGACCAAACCCAACGCAGGCCTGCCTCCCAGCTCAGCGGGCTCCGGGCACACTCGGAGTTTTGTGATCCCTCTCCACGGCCGAGGATGAAAAGAAAGAGCGCCTGTGAGAGAGGCAGAAAAAGGAAGCGGTGGCTGAGACGGTCTGTCCAGGGTGACGCGTCGGCCCAAGCGGAAAAAAAAACAAAGCGCCGTTTGTTTTATAGTCCAAAGTCCAGAGAAAAAACGAGAGCCGGGGTGGTAGAGAGAGATTAGTCCAGCACAAAAGAGCAAACCTTTGCAGGAGTGGAGAGTAGTGAAAGGAAAGAGCTGGTTATCTTTAGCATAAGCACCAGATAAGTGGCATCGGTCAGGCGGACGCCAGATCCCAGAGGCTGCTGTCTTTGCATTTAAAAAGAGATTTGTTTTTCTGCACCCAGTCCAATCCCCCATCGAAAGGCGCATAATCTGAAACGCATGCAAAGCCGGGGCCTCGCGTCGTCCAGCACGGCTCCCTTCATGTCCCGGCCGGCCACTTTGCATGTCCAGATCCAGATGTCCGAAGAGGCCGATAACCCCTGAATCTGTCCCCTCCAGTGTGTGCCAGTTCCTCTCGCGCTGTCAGAGCCCGACGGGGGGCTTCGCCGGGGGGCCGGGGCAGCATGCCCACCTGGCCCCCACCTACGCCGCCGTCAACGCGCTCTGCATCATCGGCACACCGCAGGCCTACAGCGTCATAGACAGGTAGGCATCCAGCTAAAGCTCATTCACAGCTAAAGCCGACCCGCCGACCCCCCCCCCCCCACGCCCCCCCCCCTTAAAGGAGCTGCTGATTTACACTGAAACCCCGCAGGATCAGATCCACGTTTGTGACAGCCCCGTGCTTCATGTCAAATTTTGTGTGTAGCTGAAAAAGCTATTAAAGAAACCCCGAGAACCACCCGGCCTCCCCCCAGCAGGAATTAGAGGGCTGAGATGGAGTGAAATGAGTGCGAGGGCTTGGCACTTTCAAAGAAAACCGTTTCTAATGATCCATCGTTATCTTTCTTCATTCGTTTTTGTTATTGGCACAAGTGACAGAAACAATGGCACGTCAATATATTGCCATTGAAGTTAGAAAGGAACTTGAAGGATTCGGAAAATGTGAAAGATAGCAGAGCTCTGCTCCAGAATAAGGAAAGACACAACGCGCTGGCCGTATGGCCGAACACAGACAGTTTTTTGGCAGCGACCCTGAGCTGGGTGTGTAATCTGCTTTGCTGCGTCCAAGTGTCCCAGAGGCCGGGAGGCCTGCTGGATGACCCCCCGGTTGGCAGCAGGTCCAGCCAGGTGTTTCCCATCCGTCACTGGCTGCAGAGATCTAGGCTTTTTTTCATAGTTTTTTTATTTTTTAAAGCCTTTTTTTACACGCTTCTTCTCAGCTTTCTCTAAGCGTCGTCTTTCTGTTTCTGTCTGGTTAACTTGTGCCAACATTCAGGAAATTGATTCGGGACATTTGTGAGGCTTCATAGAAACCTCCCACATCCGCATTGAGATGCACTCAGTACCAACTTGTTTTCCTCTCTTCCCTCATTTTACATGATATTCTGCCAAAAACGTTAAGTTCCCTGTTGGGTACAGTTGGTTTGAATATGAGAGCATCCTCCGCCCCGCTCTGTAGGAGCGAGGCCACATCCAAACCGGCTTTAGCTTTGAAAAGGAGAGGGAAATCATCTCAGTATGTGGGATGAAAGGAAAAAAGATGAAACGGACATGGAGCATCACCTAAGGACTCGCTGTGACATCAGACTTAATGTTTAGGGATAATCTGGGCTCGCGCAGCTTTTCTTACTGGGACAAACCAGCAGAACCCCCCCCCCCCCCCCCCCCCCCCTCCCCCGACGTGTCTCACACCAGCTGTACTTATCTGGACCTTTTTTGGTTCAAAGTTAGCACTCACAATGCAAGGCTGCATTACGGAGTTAGGGGGATTTGACACTGTTATTTTCACCATAGCGCTCATCTCCTCCTTTTTCCTCCCCCCTCCCCCCCTTCCTTTGCTGCTCCTCTGTAGGGAGAAGCTGCTGGATTTCCTATGGTCAGTGAAGCAGCCCGATGGCTCCTTTGTGATGCACGTCGGAGGAGAGGTGGACGTCAGGTGAGAGCTTCCTTCAATCAATCAATCAATCAATCAGGACCCCCCCACACACACACACACACACCCCCTCCTCCCCCCCCCCCCCCCCCCACAGGAGCGCTTACTGCGCGGCGTCCGTAGCGTCGCTCACAAACATCATCACGCCCAGGCTGTTCCAGGACACGCCCAACTGGATCCTCAGGTGGGCCCCGCCCCCCCTGTCCCCCCCGCCGGCCTGAGGCCGTTCGGCCCCCGGGGCCCACTGCTTGAGCCGCTGTGGTCTGGGTGCAGGTGTCAGAACTGGGAGGGCGGCCTGAGCGGCGTGCCCGGGCTGGAGGCGCACGGCGGCTACACCTTCTGCGGAACGGCCGCCATGGTCATCCTGGGCAAAGAGCACATGCTGGACCTCAAAGCTCTGCTGGTGAGTGAGCCTCTTCCTCCGCTTCACCACCGACCCCAGTCAAGGTTTTCTTTTTTTGAGAATGTAATAGTGGTTGTTACAGTGTCATTACAGTGTCATTTCAGTTATTTTTTTGTGAAAACCTGAAGTGAGACAGTTTAATGTTTGTTCCAGCTTTAAGTGGCCGTCCAACAGTTGAAGATTTTAATCTACTGCAGCTTTCTTTCATTTATTTTTTATTTTTTTTTCCTGGATTCACATTGTCAGAATGAAGAGTCTCACTTTGAAGCTCCTAAAACCGGCGATCAGATCAGAAACAGTCAGTTTTTTTTTCTCAGGGCGTCCCACTCATCAGTGGTTCTTTACTGCAGCCGGTGTGATGGTTACGGCTCGTTTTACCCCGAAAATGATACTATGGTGTGTTGAGCCATTGCTTTTTTTAACGGGGTTAAACAACAGAAAGGTCAGTGAGCTGAAAGGGCCAGAGAGGACATAACGCTGCAGCTGGACATCCACCTCCCTCTCCATCCATACATTAAACATCCCTCCCCCCTCCGACTGTTATCAAAGCTAATATCTCATGATTACACAATCCCAGCTAATCAGGGCGAGTGTCCATCAGCAGTTTCCGTGGCAACCAAACAGCTACAGTTCCCCGTTGTCCATTCATAAAGCGTGCAGACGCCTCTCTGCTGTGGCTCCGGTCCTCTGTGGGGTCTGGAGCTGTTGTCCCTCTCCCCGCAGCGCTGGGTGGTCAGCAGACAGATGCGGTTCGAGGGCGGCTTCCAGGGCCGCTGTAACAAGCTGGTGGACGGCTGCTACTCCTTCTGGCAGGCTGGACTCCTGCCCCTGCTCCACAGAGCCTTATTCAAAGAAGGTAACTCTACCGGTCTGGCTGGAGGAAAAAAAAACTAAGCTAAAAGCACATTACCAAACAGATGGGGGCCACAGAGAGGATATCGATCGACCAAAGATTTGGGCCCAAAGCGGAGCTCTAAAGCGGGATTCTGGGGCCCGGCGGCTTCTGGTATGTGGGGGCCTTGTAACGCTGACCGCCCCTCTGCGTGACGCCACCTTTAACTCAGAGTGAGCTCAAGGCTTAAAAGTGGCTCACTGTTTGGATAAAGTGCTTTCAGTTTAAAAAGAAAACAAACCCGCCCTCAGATTTGATAGCTGTAGCCATTTGGATAAAGACAGAGTCTGGTCGCGGATGTAAAATCGAAAAAATCAGTCAGAGCCCTAAGAAAGCGAGGGCTTTGTGTGTGTGCAGGAGAGTCGGAGCTGAGCCGGCAGCGCTGGATGTTCGAGCAGCAGGCCCTGCAGGAGTACATCCTGCTGTGCTGCCAGAACCCCGGGGGGGGCCTTCTGGACAAGCCCGGCAAGTCAGTACCGCAGCCCCCGGCCACAGACGCACACATCCCACACTCCACACGACCCCCCTAACGCCCCCGGTGCTCCCCCCCGCTTTAATCTTCCCAGATCCAGGGACTTCTACCACACCTGCTACTGCCTGAGCGGCCTGTCAGTAGCACAGCACTTTGGGAACGCCGACCTCCACCACGAGATGATCCTCGGCAAGGAGGAGAACAGACTGGTGAGCACACAAGTAGTCGTTATAATACATTTAAAAAGGCAAAGTCACCAGATGAGACCTGAAATATGACACAAAATGGCCCAACAAAGACACAAAACGCACAAAAAAAGAGACCGTTCAATCCCGGGAGAGGCAAAAGGACCAACAAAGAGCACATAAAGCACACCTTAATGTAAAACTACAGCTAAGAGAAACTGAAACTAAAGTTGTTTTAGTATCATTTGAAGTGACTCGAGTTGTTTTGTTTTTTCAAACGAACGCAGACAGAAAAGAACACAACCCCCACCTCACTCGTCACCGCTCCGCTTTGCCTTCCAGGCTCCAACCCATCCGGTTTACAACATCTGCCCGGAGAAGGTGGCCCAGGCCCTGCAGCACTTCCTGCAGCTGCCTGTTCCCGCCGACGCCGGGCCCCCCCCCCCCCCCGGCCCCGCCCCCGCAGGCCCCGCCCCGGCCCTAGTCCCCGCCCCCCGGCGCAGCGGAGGGCGTGCCAACCAGCCGAACCCGGGGGACTCGACCCGACCCGGGAGCAGCAGCCAGGCCTGAAGTGAACTCCCCACAAGACTACGGACCCTCGGGGGCCGAGGGGGGCCGAGGGTCAGGAGGCCGGCCCGCCTGGAGGCCAACGGTCTGCCCGGACAGCTTCAGATTCAGCTGGATTCTTGCTTGCATTGCCTAAGTTTTTATCCCCTGAAAAGCGTAACTTTGTAAGGTTTCAGTAAGACCTGTCAATAAAACTTGGTACAGCATTTCCTGGAGCGGGGTTCTGATTGTGTTCGGCTTCCACCTCAGACACTCTGGATGAAGAACTGGGCTGTAAAAGGGTTCAGAACCGGTCAACAGGTGGGACAGAAAATAAGGAAACTGAGTCATGTTAGCAAGCTGCCTAACATCAGTTCATAATCGTTTTTATTTCTACATATTCTGATATTGGAAAAATGTTCAGGAGTCAATGAAATCCCTGAAAACTGTCCGTATTAGTTTGTGCGTTAGATGTTTGAACGTTGTCACATTCCCGGCGGGCCTTAAACGCACCAGGTTTACTTGTGAAACCTCCCGTTCCTGCTCGGCCGACGCCCAGCTGCTGCTGCGGTCGTCTGTCCGCAGGTCAGTTTCTCAAGTTCGTAAAATCCCTCTGTGATTTAGTGGCTGTTGCAACTCCAAACCCGAGACGCTCATCCATGACGTTTCTCAGCATTAAAAAGACACACTGAGGAAGATCAGTTAGAAAAGTCAGACCCTAAAGAGCCCCAAACCTCTTCATGGACACTTTAGTGGGCTCATTCTTTTGCCCCGACCGGCTGTAACGTTCTGCCAGTATGTCTCAATTATGGTTCTTCATCTTTTGAGCACTCGGGATTTTTGAGACATTCCCATTCATAACATTTTCCTCATCTGTCCACACCACTTCCTCCTGGCAGATAACGTCCCCCCTCCACCTGTAAATTTCAGCCTTTCGGGATGTTTGAACAGAAGAAGAGTTACCACAGGGCGCTTCAAAGGATAAAATAGTTTATTTTATAGTCTCATAGTAAAGGTAGGCCTCAACTTGCAAGACAATTGTTGGCAGTATGTACAACATACTTGTAATTTCCATGGAATGGAATCAGACAACGACCTACGACACTAATTATATCCTCCTAACTGGAAATAAAATGGAAACAATATACATACACACACGTTTCCTAGAGGCGCAAAATGCTTCCTTTTTTTTGTTTTTGTTTTTCCTTTTGGGGTGGGGGGGGTGTGGGAGGGGCGGGGGGACTCAGCAACATTTGATTTTTACCGTGTAAAGCACAACACATGAACAGGGACTGGTCTCGCCTCCTTGTATTGCAAACGCCAGGAGCTACCTTTTAACATTCAATATCTATGTCAAACCTTCAAAGAAAGAAGAAGAAGAAAAATGGTACAAATTGGTCTTTTCTCCTTTACTGCACGGTTACTACAGAAGGTATAACGCACTCCTGAGACCCCCAAAAACATCCAATTAATGCTCTGGATAAGAAAAAAAAATGAGACGCCTAAATGTTTTCAGCCACCTAAAGTCATTCACTACTTAGCTAGAGGACAAGATACGATACGGCCTCGAGGGGGGGGGATTCTCCCTCCAAACATCAAATCCAAGTAAAAAGAGCTCTCATTTTAAACCTTGTGTGGACAAACGAGTCGGGGCAGCAAACGCCTGCTGTCCAGTGGGCCTGAGGTGGGGGTCACTTTAACATCTGCTCAAAGCATCTTCACATTCTTTAGTGGAAAAAAAAAGAAGGATTATTTTAAAAAGGTAAACGTTTACAGGACCATTTATCTAGGTGTGTGTGTAGAGTCTAAACAGATTTATTTTCAATCAAGAATCACAAAAAAAACAACAAAAAATAGATAAAGCAGTGCTTTGAGGAGTACACCTGGCTTCCCCATCTGCCCCAAACATTAATCTGGGGGGGGGGGGGGGGGGCTTTTTGAGGGGTACAAAAAAAATTAGAAATAAGAAAAAAATAAAACATCAAGTCCTC